GAGCTGCACGTCCTAACGTGATTTTTTACCAAACCTGTGTCGTTCAAGAAAACAGAATCGATGGGTCTGAGCGTTTTTCAAAAAAAAACTGCCGGTAAATGCGTCTGTCTAGTTTTCGATGCGCCACCCTGTATATTTTACGATGGTTGAAAATGGAAATTATTAACATTTTGAATTATACGAGATGTTGGGCTGATTTATACAGAGCAACTAGGGTTGTCCAATAGGGACGCAGGAAAGTAAACGTCAATTTGACATAAACGCCATCTTTGTTTTCTGTCACCGACATGTCATTTTGTTAGTTGAATGTTTACCATTGATCGCTATGGAGTCGTATTCGATTGAAGACCGCATTAAAATTATTCAAGAGCACTACAAAGATGGTGCAAAAATAAAAAACGCGTTTCGTGCGCTTCGTGAACATTTCGGTCGCTACAACCGCTCAAACGAAACAGCCATCGGTCGTCTGGTGTGTAAATTCGAGGCAACAGGTTCTGTGGCAAATGTGCCAGGCTCTGGCCGGCCAAGGAGCGTTCGCACACCGGAAAATATTGCTGTTGTGAAGGAGAGTGTGAGATATGATCCGAAACAATCAACAACGCGTCGATCCCAAGAATTGGGCATTTCGAGAACCAGTTTGCTCCGCATTCTCCACAAGGATTTGAATGTACACGCCTACAAGATCCAACTGATTGGCTCCTTGAACACCGCCAAATTGATGCCAATTTTTCATCAAAAATCATGTTCAGCGACGAAGCGCATTTCACTTTGAATGGGACGATAAACAAGCAAAACTGCCACATCTGGGCGAACGAAAATCCCCGTGAGTATCAAGAGCAACCGATGCATCCTCAAAAAGTGACTGTGTGGTGTGCATTGTGGTCAAAAGGCATCATCGGACCTTACTTTTTCGAAAATGCGGCCGGGGACGCCGTTACCGTCAATTCTGAGCGATATCACGTGATGATATTTTTAACTTTTTAACTTGAAGGAATGGATATGGACGATGTTTATTTCCAACAAGACGGTGCAACATGCCAGACAACCAACGTCAATATACATCGATTGCAGTCCTTCTTCGGTGATCGCGTGATTTCGCGCAGAGGAAATGTGCCATGGCCACCAAGATCGTGCGATTTGACTCCCTTGGACTTCTTTTTATGGGGATATTTGAAAAGCAAAGTCTACGTCAACAAACCAGCCACCCTCTAAGAACTCAAAAACAACATCATTGCCGAGATAAATGCCATAGAACCGACCATGTTGCAAAATGTCATTGAAAATTTCGACCATCGCGTGGACGTCTGTAAATCCAGTCGTGGTGAATATTTGAGCGATATTATTTTTCATACATAAATGGTATAAATGAACCTTCTCCTGCGTCCGTTTTGGACAACCCCATAGATCTCCTGTGAATCTTCCCAGCTATATCTCAATACGTTTGTTTATATATTTATTCACCTTTTGACGTATGTGGGTACATTTTTTAATATCATTTTAATTTATAGATATCCAGAAAGAATGCAACCTGGTCTTCTAATGTTTTCTTGAATGAAGTAGAATATGAAGCGCCTATCCGGCTTCAAAGAAAAATGTATAATAAGGAAAACCGCGATACGGAGGTAGCGTAGAATCAACGTCTTCACAATCATAGAGCAGGAAGTTGATGTTCCCAAGACTCGGATTAAAAGAATTTTGGCCAAAAGCAAATTTAGACTATACATCCTGGTATTGCAAAACGACGTTTACTGTTTTCCAACTGGTATTTGGAACAAATTCGTATCGACAACAACTTTGCCAGATCTATAGTATGGTCCGATGAGGCCTACTTTTCGAGTACAGGTATTTTTAATAGACATAACATTAGGCATTGGTCTCAAGAAAATCACCAAGTGATATTCGAAATAGGGCAGTAGGGTCGATTTGGCTTTAGGGTTGCTCGTTTCATTATAGAATTTACGAAAGAGACAGATATCTTGAAATTTGAAAGATGTCTTTCCTGTGGTACTGGACAATGTTCCTTTAGCTTACCTCAACAAGGTGCATTTACAACATGGTGCTCCCACTCACAATGCCCGAACTTTCTGCAAAAATTGACTGGTACTAACGGATCAATCAAATGGCCTCCTCGGTCACCAGACCTATCCGTTCTAGATTTTTTTCTGTGGGGCTAACTAAAAAAGAAGCTTCATGGGACATTAGATAAACTACGAAGTCCACCAATGCGACATCTGAAAACTTGCAAGGGCACTTCATAATTGTTTTAAATGAAAAAAACAAACCTAATAATATCTTAAAAAGGTGCTACGATGAAGACTCAATAAACAAATTCATATCAGATCTATGTGCTGAAGATTGGTCTCTACTATATAACATGATCGATGTTAACCTCGCGTTTGGACATTTTTTTGAGGTATTTAACTACCACTTTCAGATGAACTTTTCACGGCGAATGCATACGGTTTCAACCAAAAGAAAATTGTGGGTGAACGAAGAAATACTGCGTTCTAGTCACAATTTAAAGGAACTTCATTATTTAGCAACGGTAGTTCCAGAATGTAAGCAACAATATATTGAAAAATAGAGACAACACAACAAATTAATAGAACCTAGAACACGAAGGTATTATCAGAAAAAAATATTTAAGTCCAGCAACAAAACTAAAGCTGTCTGGAAGACTGTATCTGAACTGACCGGAAATAATACAAAAAACAATAATATGAGTTCGACTACTACATCCAATCAGAAAAACCGTGCCGATGAATTCAATCAGTTTTTCAAAAATGCACCTCTGAAAATCGCCAGAAATGTTCCAACAAATCCCACTCAGGATAATACCTTTAGTTCCAGCAAGGAAGATACACGGCATTTGATGTTGCTGTATCCATTTACTGATGATGAATTATTTGACTTAATTAATAAAAAGCTAAAAAACAAACATTCGTCGGGGACTGATGAGATCTCAAATTTTATAGTAAGGAAAGCATTGAATTACATTTTAAAGCCACTGGTCTTCATGATCAATATATCATTCTGCACAGGGAAATTTCCTTGTCTGCTGAAAACAGGAAAAGTGATTCCAGTATACAAATAAAGGAGATCCCTCTGAGCTGAGTAATTACAGACCAGTAACAATACGATCAACTTTTGCAAAAGTATTCGAGTACTGCTATCTGGACAGGTTGTTTTTGTATTTGTTAAATAATAAAATTTTTACAGAGAATCAGCACGGTTTTCGAAATGGGAAATCTACAGCAACAGCAATTCACAGCTTCTACGGAACTCTTGTCAAAATGATTGAGGCGGGCGGGTGCCCTGTCGGGATCTTTTGTGATCTCAGTAGCGCATTTGACTGCGTCAGTCATGAAGAGCTGTTGCAAAAAACGTCAAAGTATGGCATAAATGGTCTGGATAAGGTCTTTTTTAGAGGATAGGTGCCAATTTGTGAGTATCGTCGATAGTGGTGTGAATGCGCCTATTAAGTCCGGCATAGCTGACATCTCCATCGGCGTCCCTTAGGGCTCTATTCTAGGACCTGTGCTATTCAGTCTATATGTAAATGACCTTGTTTCTGTTCCTCTGAAGGTAGATTCAATTATATGCAGGTGATAGGCAGCAGCGGTGGCCGCAGTAGTAGACTGTTCGGTCTCCTGATCAGTCGCCGTGCGCTGTGCGGATTCAAGTCCCGTCCCAGGAGAAATTATTCTCTTGGCTATGGATGTTGTGATTGTCCGTAGGTGGTAGATGGTCTCTGACTGTCGAACGCGGAGGTACCACCCGGCGGTTCTCGTAGGCGGAGCCAGAATGTGTGCATGTTACATGCCCACGTGTTCGCTCGCCAGAGTCTGTGTGGCGTCCCCCCTTTCCCATGTATCCCCCATAGCCCCACGGTACCCAATGGGTGCTTAGGCCTTAGGCCTTCGTGGTAGTTGGAATATAAAAAAAAAATACTTCAGTGGTGATATCGAATAAGTGTGAGGCTACATTAGAGATATTGTGGAGTTTTATTGCAAGGTATTATCAAGTGGTTTAGCAGCAATCAGCTCTATTTGAATTCGGAAAAAACATCAGTTGTCCAATTTCACAACATCCAGAAGAAGTCTAGGACATTAAATATCACTTTTAATGACTCAAGAATGTCCCTTAACATGCAAGTTAAATTCTTGGGCTTCTATCTAGATACAAGTTTGAATTTTAAAGACCACATATCTTATGAAAAATTTGCGAACTGTCCTTACCGAAGCACAGATAGCTTCTGTTTACTATGCTCAAGTTGAGACACGACTGAGCTATGCACTATGCTTCTGGGGTTTGTCTACAAATGCCCAACAAGTGTTTTTGGCCCAAAAAAGAGTGGTTAGATGCATGGTGGGAGTCAGCAGTAGGCATTCTTGTTAGGGTATTTTAAGCGCCTTAATATTTTAACTTTACCATCTTTTTTTATTAACAAAACTAGATTTTTAAACAATTTTAACTCGTACTCGACGAGACAAGCTGGAGACTTAAATGTGTATTTTGACAAGTATAAGATCAGCGTCAGATCCCCGGAAATACTGGGTCTACGAATTTTCAATAGCCTACCAAACAATATTAAAGAGTGTGGAGATATGCACAATTTTAAGGCTAAACTAACAGATTTTCTTGTGTGTAAATGTTATAATGCCGTCTCTGAGTTTGTTATGTTATGATTTATTTATGTGTTTGTTTTATACATATATTTATTTAGTGTTGTTTTATTAGTTTTTATTCCGACGAATCCTATACATACTTTGTAATGTCTCTTAGGATAATAAAATAATTTGAATTTGAATTTGAATGATAATAACTGCCCTATGTCTACCTTGCGCTAGGTAAAATGGCAAGCATTTTAAGCAGCTCTTTCAAAGTGAAAGTCTATTACGCTGTTAATATCGAGATTGAATTTATGTTGATATCAAAATGAAATACTACATTTGTTTAGTTTTATTATCCGTTAGTGTATAAAATTGTTCATGGCTTACCTAGACTTAACTTTTTCAAAATGCATGTGACTGTAGTATGCTATAACAAATAATATGTTTATAACAAAGTCAAGACCTACTGATACTATAATATTAACACACACTATGATAATACGTAGGTGTACGGACATTTTGTGAACTAATGAATTTTCGATTTATTATTCAAAATACATATCATGTGTGCTTCTGCAAAGCTTATAAAATTTTCAGTCAAACAAGAAAAAATATACAGGAGTCCCATTAAAATAACTAAATTTGATTCATAGCTAATAACTGACAGCTCACAGCAAAAATTTAACCACGCCACTGTATTCTAGGTAAGAAACTGTATTTGTGCCAGTTTTTAGCTCTGCGATATTTATTTATTTATCTATTTATTTATTTATTTATTTATTTATTTATTTATTTATTTATTTATTTATTTATTTATTTATTTATTTATTTATTTATTTATTTATTTATTTATTTATTTATTTATTTATTTATTTATTTACTTATTTATTTATTAGTCTATTTCCAACAGGTGAAACTCAATTACAGGAAATGCTGAAAAAAATAACAATTAAAGAGACATGGTTATTGGACTTAAGTCTATAGTATCACACATTCTAAATAAGATTGGATGATCTATAGCAGTTAATAATCTAAATCTATAGTATCACATACTCTAAATAAGATTGGATGATCTATAGTAGTTATAATAATAACAATAATCGATGCACAACTGTCACTGTAAATATCACACGATTCAGTAACACTGTTCATGACGCAGCACATGAGATTAATTGGCGATTTTGTGATAACATTTGTACCGCCAGCTTGACAATAGAATGCCGTTTGTTGTCGACTCCCTAGCCTTGGAACGCGGAATACAAGTTGAAAAACTCTAATAGGGCACTATGGTCACAACCTCTTTCTGGATAAGAACCTGTGCTTTTAAGGTGAAGATACTTTAAAGCTTTACGTTGAATGGCCTCAAGGATCACGACAGAATTATGGTATATAGGAGACCAGATCAGAGTCGCATACTCCAACTTGCTCCTGACAAAAGTAAAAAATAAAGTCATTAATCTATCAACATTGGAGAAACCCTTCCAGTTTCTGATACAGAAACCACTTTAGTCGAGTGGCAGCCGACGAGATATTGAGTATATGCTCAGTAAACGTTAGCTTGGTATCAAAAATGACTCCAAGGTCTCTATAAGAGGTGCATCTGTCTATAACCTGACCATTGATGTTATAATTATCATAAATTAAATAGTTAACCTTTCTTGTATAAGTTATAACTTTACATTTCGAAACATTCAGACTGAGACAGTTTCATGAACACCATGACGAAATTAGAGCTAAGTCATCTTGCAACATGACGCAATCCTCGACTGTCTTGACTGACGTGCAGATTTTGAGGTTCAGCGAAAAACAAATGGAAACACTTCAGTTCAAAAGACAAGTCATTAATAAATATCAAAAACAGTAATGGACCTAGATTTGACCCTTGAGGTACCCCGGACGTGGCCCGATAGTAACTCGACCTATGACCACCATATTCGACAAATAACCTTCTATCCCTCAAATATGAATTCATGAGCGACAGCATTGCATCAGACATACACACTGTTTTAAGCTTATCCAGAAGTGCATAATGATCAACTTGATCAAACGCCTTCTGAATATCTGTGTAGATGACATCAACTTGTCCCTGACCTTAGAGTACTTCAGAAATGTACTGAGTAATTAGAGCCAAGTTGGTGACCGTAAATCTGCCTTTCATAAACCCATGCTGATTAATAGAGACTGCACCCCTGACCGAGCAGTAAACCGTTTCATAAGCGATGATCTCAAATAACTTGCCGAAATTGCACAGGATTGCTATTTGGCGATAGTTGGAAGTATCAGAGATATCTCCACTTTTGTGAATAGGACATATTTTAGAGGTCTTCCAGATATTTGGATATGTCTCTGATTTTAGAATTAAGTTGAATATGGAAGCCGGCGGTTTAGCTAGTATATGAATGCAATCTTTAACGAAAAAACTTGGAACACCATCACATCCAGACGTCATTTTGTTCTTTAATCTTTTCGAAGCCCCAATTACGTTTTCTTCACTTATATTTTTCAAAGAAATGAGTAGGCAACACTGATCTGGTTTTTAATGAGCTTCCTAAAATTACTGAACTGATCATAAGAAAACTTAGTACCGTCACGTTTCCAGTTCCTTCTTGCTATGTCCTTCTTCTTGATATTAAGTATAATTTCACGGGTGAACCATGGGGGATACGAAAACATTTTATTTTTACATTTAGGGCCATGGACCTCAAAGATGTTATTGATAACTGAATACAAGGCGGCACAAGCGACATCAACATTAACTGCACTGATCACCTCCGTCCAATTAACGTCTTGCAAGACTGTGTACATTTCAGGAAAGTTAGCTTTGCGAAAGTTAAACCGTGGAGAATTAGCAAATGGGAATTTCGTTGGAGATCCGGATGTAATGAATTCCATGATCAGTGCAGGATGATGAACGTCCTCTTTAACAGAAGGTGTATTATCTCTGAGGACTTCTATTTCGATATTTCCTAAAATTAAATCCAGTATTCGACCATTTATATTTGGAATATTATTAAAATTAGTTAAATCTAAAAACGAAATAAAGTTGCTCATCAATTGAGACTTCTGATCATTAACGTCACTGTTGAATGATGCGACATTAAAATCACCAGCAACAATTATTTTACAATTACTGAATGCATTGTTGATATGTTGAAGGATAACAGAGATATGAGGAGGGTCTCAAAAAGCAGTGTTTTTAATTTCGCACTGTATCACAGAAACGAAGGCGGCTATGAAAATGTTCATTATACCACCTGTTTTTTAACAAAAAAAAAACACCCGTAATATCATCGAAAACAGGACACCCTGTACAATTTTGGAACGAAGGAGAAAATATTTTCCCTTTAAGCCTGATTCTACTACAACATATCGAACTACTACGACCTCAATGCTTACCTTTAAGTAAGTGATAGTTATCCTGAAAATCCAGATATCCCTAACAAAAGCCTCTCCAGTCTGGCAACCCCAGCCTCGCTCATAGTACCGTTAGCAGCAACATGTGGGATGAATACGCGACGATACATTTTTATTTTTGGCGGGAATATTGTTACTTCCTTCTGGATTTCTATAGGAAATGCCGGGATAGAGTTAAAACGAGATTCCGACGAACGTTCGCCGAGATGAAAAACCTTTTTTAATTTTCAAATAACGAGACTGCGCTTGCTGACGCTTTGTGTTCCGACCGTACGTGAAGGATACGTTGTAGCTTGTAGCTGAAGGGTTCTCAAGGATAAAATGAAAGCGGATGCATCAAAAACCCGCGATGCAATCTAATACATTGAAACACTGCATCGGTAATTCAAGCTTTGAGTTTTTGAGTTGTTCAATATTGAAACGCGATAAGGGATTGGTGCAGAAGGTGGGTGTGATAAGCCACTGTTTGGCAATTAATCTAATTGGAAAGTACTCTCTACACCAATACAGTCACGACAGCTTCATGTGGCGTCCCACAGGGTTCTTAACTCGGTCCACTTTTAGCCTTAATATACATAAATGACTTTCATAATTAATTGTACATGTGACATATAAATCCGAACACCCAGTTTAAATGGTTTTATTTTAATAAAATTTTGTATAAGTACTTGATGAAGCATAATAAGCAAATGATAAAAATTTCAAAATGATTGCACTGCTTTAAAGCCCTTAGACCTTTAATAATGTGTGGATGCACCCTGATGTGCTACGCATTCTCCAACGCGCCTATGCATGCTTCTGATCAGGTGGTCAATGTCCTCCTGTGGTATCTCATTCCAGGCAACCACCAACTCCTCTCGAAGTGCTTCTAGAGTCTGAGGAGGACGTTGCAAATTGAGCAATCTCCTACCCATCATATTCCACTCGTGCTCAATTGGGGATAAGTCGGGAGATCTTGGTGGCCATGGTAACAATGTGACATCATTATGTTGAAAGAAGTCTATTGTGACTCTCGCAACATGTGGTCGGGCATTATCTTGTTGGAAAGTTGGATCTGCCAGGGTGTCAAGATAGGGTAAAAGATGGGGTTCTAGAACTTCGTGGCTATAACGCTGCGCGTTCGTGTTACCTCTGATGAAGATTAAAGGTGACCTGGAACCATAAGCTATAGCACCCCAAACCATAACTCCAACAGTGTGATGAACATGTCCTTCAACAAAAAACTGTGGATTCCTCCTTTCACTACGTCGCCTTCTAACCCTGGCACGACCATCGTGCATACCTAAACAAAATCGAGACTCGTCACTAAAGACAATACTGTTCCATTCCTGATCCCAGAGTGACCGTTGTCTGCACCACTCAAGGCTATTACGTCAGTGTTCTCGAGTTAAAGGGAGGACCCAGTGTGGCCGGTATGAAAACAAGCCAAAACTTCTCATTCGTCGGTAAACACTTCGCATGCCAATAGGTCTTCCGTGTTCTGCAAACCATTCATTTGCAATGGACCTGGTAGTGGAGAAACGGTCCCTTAAGGCCAATAATCTTAGGCGGCGATCTTCACGGTCTGTTGTTCTACGGCGGCGTCCAGTGCCCCTTGCTCTTTGCGTACGGCCTTCTCGAAGCCATGCCTGACAACACCTAACCACAGTGTCTACACTTCTTTGCACTCTAACTGCAATTTTCCGAAAAGAAAGTCCAGCTTCCCGAAGTCCCACTATACGGCCCCTATCAACTCACAAAATCGTACAGGTCTCCGTACTCTAGGCATCGTAGCGATCGTAAAGGATGTCAAGAACCAAAATCCGCCAACGTTGATTCTTTACTGCGGCTGAAATATTCATCTTTAGAGCGTTAGTGAATTAAAAAAAAGCAGTATAAAAACCGGAATGTCCAACTGATAAGGCTGAAAATTTTTTCACTTGTTATTTACAGTAAGATAGATACATTCACCAACTTTTATTAAAATAAAACCATTTAAACTGGGTGTTCGGATTTATATGTCACTTGGTATACAAAGAAAATCCTTATACTGTTTGTGGATAACACAACAATGCTATTTAGTAACAGATCGATTTCCTTATCCCTAAAGCTTTTTATATCATCGAAAAGATTTTAAGTAATAACTTTTACTCTGTCAATTTATTCGATGTGCTTGTTCTATGGTTTTGTAGTCATTTTAAATTCATAATATCATTTTACAGTTTTTCTGTTAATGTTGTTTTTTCCAACAAATTTTATTGTTCTGTTAATTTACACTTTGGTATTTTAACTTTTATCCTTACCTGTGTATGCACGCAAGTGTATGAAGCACAAATAAAAAATGAGATGAAATTGTATTGTAGGTTCTAAACTGTAATAAGTACGAGCCCCTTCCCACTTCAGTTGGCCCACTTCAAGATTTGTACCAAAATATGCCTTTATAAACTAAACACGACGAAACTATTTACTTCTAAAACAATTTATTTTCTCAAAAACCTCGTAGATACACTCTAGTCGTAGAAATACATATTTGAAATAACTTAGACCTATAACTAATAGAACATCTGAACAAATAAACAATGTACGAATAAATGCGCGAAGTTAACAAAGCAACAATTTATTGTAAGATTACCATTGGGTAACATCACCTTTATTTCTTATTACGGCTCTAATTCTTTGGGGCATAGTGTTAACTAAGTTTTGGCAAAAATTTGGTGTAAAACAATCTCATATTCCTTGAAGCTTTTGTCTCAGTTCGGGGATTGTACGAGCAGGATGTTGTCGTAGAACCTTTTTCATCTCGTGCCACAAAGTTTCAATAGGTGACAGATCTGGACTGCCAGAAACCCATTTCAAAAGTGGTACACTATTTCCTTCCACCCATTTTGTAGTCTTTTTTGAGGTATGGCAAGCTACACCTTCTCGCTGAAACACAAAATCTTGGCCGGATGTCAAACGTTCTTCCATCACTGGTAAAAGTGATTCTTCTAAAATTGCCAACTATTTGTTTGTATCCACAGTTCCATCAATAAAATGAAGTTTTCCTACTCCTTTTGATGGCATACTGCCCCAGACCATAATGGATGCTGGAAATTTCACTTTTCTCTTCAGACAGTCAACATGGAATGCTTAATTTTTTTGCAAATAACTCTACCGCGACTGTCACAAACACAAACTTCGAATAGGGCCTCATCACTTCATTGTATTGCACACCATTGTTGAGGTGTCATTGTCTATGTTCTTTAGCCCATCTGAGCCGATTTTTCTTTTGCAGTGGAGTTAATAGTGGCTTTTCTTTGGCCTATAAACAAGTTGTGCAACTTTACGACTTTTAGTTCTCTTTTTTTATAAAAAAAACTTACCTTGCAAGTGCTAAGTCCGAGTTTGTGGGCCTTTCTATGAGTTGTGGACCTCGAAATTCTCCTTCTAACAGCGTTACTCCACAGAGCACTTAATTGTTAATAATTGGCACGCCTGTTTTTCACAATTATTCTTCTTAATGCTCTTCGGTCGGCATTTGTGATATTACTTTTTTTCACATATCGTTGCTTAATATTAACTGAACCAGTTACGTTATATCTTCTAACAATATTTCTCACACTGTACCGCGACAAGTCTAACAAAGTTGCAATTTTTGAGTTTGATTTCCCAGTATTAAATAATTTAATTATCAGTAACCGAATTTTCTCACTAATAACCTTTCCTTTTGAAAAGCTTAACTACCCAAAACTATTTTAAACATATTCTGACAGCTGTGATTAATAAAAACAATTGTCATGGCTTTTATCTTCCACAGCCATCTATGCGTAGACTTATTTTGCATTGAAATGAAAATAGGTTGATATGCTGTAATCGCAACATGTGTTATTTTTATGCTTCAAATTTGATTAGGAAGTGATAAAGTTGGTGTTTTCTACTGTATATTATCAAAATATTCATTGTTAACATTTTAAACCTATAACACCCTGCTACACTTTTATTATTTGTGTTTGATAAGAGAAAAACTAAGATATCAATAGTTGGGCCAACTGAGGTGGGAAGGGGCTCGTATACTTCTTCCAATACTTACGATAGAGCAGAACACAAAATGAATCGTATACATGAAAGAGAACAGATGTCTAAATCATCAGAGGATGTTATTTTTGAAATTTTTCTCCTATTAATAAGAATTCGGTGAAACTCGGGCCATGCCAAAATATTCAATGCGCAGTTCCGTAAATGATTTTTTTTGAAATATGCCGCTTTCACTGCGTGTGCTGCTGACAAGGACGTTCGCCTTGTCGCGTATATTTTCCAGGATAAAAATCTCTGAGCCGTCTAGCCGTGCCGTAGTAAGTCTTGTCTATAAGGGACACTCGCTGTGCCTAAGATGAAATAAAGATAAGAAAAATTCGACGCGTTACTGGATCAAGCGGTCCACGGCATGAGGAATACCCTAAAAACGGCTGATAGCGAATTTTTTGGGCGTAAAAACCAGCGAAAGGGAAAATCTTATCTAGTCCGTGTGAATCCGTCCGCGCGTTGGGGTATAATGGCACAAAAATATTACATAGAGGGATGCAACTTTCATCTGAAAGTTTAGCTAAAAGTCTGTCCCTACAGTTTAAGCAGCTCCACAGAAACAACCTAAAAATAAACTCTACTAGATCGACTTATTACCTCTTACACAATGTATATAAATATGTTTAAGATTTTGTATGCACGTGAGTTGTGTGCGTCATTAACGATAAAAGAAAAAAATACGAAACGCAGCTTCTTTCTAAGCGGTTGAATGCTCGGAAAGCCGAACGATAATTTTACACACAATTGCTGTTGTGTGTATGTTGCCTGCACGTCAAGCGTGTGCTGTCAGTTTCGTCTTTGCTTCTCAAGGCTATCGGAGGACCTTAGTCATAGTCACTGTAATGTCAGTTTCCTTCGTCAGTCTGTCAGGTCTGGTGACCCAGAAACCAGATATGTTGTTTCAAGTAAATATTTCAGGTGTGACAGATCTATGGACTGTAACATTGTACTATATACAGTTTTTGACTTGCCCTAAACTAAATTTTTTGTGTTTGGTTTTCAAGAAACATGGTTTTAAAGGTCTAAAGATGAATTTAATTCTGTTTACAGTGCTTGTCGCGGCCTGGAA